GTAAACACATCAAGTGTTAAACGGCTCAGTATTTATTTTAAGGTCAAAGATTAACCGTTTAACTATTTTACCTAGGTTCGGCGGGCCATTTTGAATCGTTACGCGGGCCGTAATTGGCCCAGGTTTGGGAACCTCTGTACTAGCGGGACGCATGTGTGTTAGGCCTGGATTTAACCATCTTAATGTGAGTGTAGCCTAAACACACGTTGCCACGAGAGTAGGACTCGTTAGGCTTTTTCACTGTATCGAACTGCTATGCAGCTGTTCGTTCCTCTGTCCGTTGTGTACCGCCACAGCAAGGTTCCCAAAACGTACAGACGACATACTGAACCATGTTCTCGTTTAATTAAAAAGAATAATAAGCTAATTATCGAATTTGTACTTGTGTACGGTACCTTTTCATCTCTTCTTTTTAATTTTACGAAAATTGAGGTCGCGGAAGAAAGTTTGGGAACCACTGTGCTAGACCATTTCATTTATATGGAATTTCGGTCGGGAATTTCAGGCCTAAGTATGGAAAGGGCTGAAATACGGTGACATTTGGAAGTTAAACCGGTATATTTCCTGTATGGACGCATAAGAAAAATCATTAATAAAGATGGTTCTGATTGCCAAGAGATCAAAACAACGTTCAGCCTCAATTGAAGTAAGCTTGATAGTTCAGCTTTTTACCATGCCCAAAATATTTTCACTTATGATTCCCTTCGCGGGTAGCCAAGCGATATCGAGAATATCCGGCCGACGGAAAATTTTCATACACGGAAAGCGGAACACTGATGATTTCGAGGCTTAACTTGAGAAGCCTAGTAAGAAGTTTCTTTACGACAGTGGTTCTCAAACTTTTTTTGCTGCCGTGCACTAAAAAAAAGCGATTTTAGCAAAATGAGGTGATTTATATTGTAAGAAAATCGGCAATTGATCTCGGGGGATTGGGTGGGTTTCTCCAGTTGGGATGAAGATTCTTCAGTTGATTCCGTTTCCCAACTGAAGAATTATACCAGTTGATTCATCCTTTATTTGACCTGCTGAATACCAGTGGACTAATTATTTGGTAGGCTTAGATGGTTCTTAGTTGATGTGGAGATTCTACAGACTACCATGGAAGGGGGATTATTCAGTTTATCCCATTAATGTCTCAATTAAAATCGTACCTGATACCGACAGCAATGAAGCGCAACATTCAAAATTTTGCCAGTCGATGGAACACTGATCATCTGGTTCAAGCATGCAACCGTTTTTGATTTTATTTTTCAACCTATTTATTACTTTCTTCACACGAGGTATTGCCTATATCTGTGTTTATTTGACATATTTTCACACACAGCATACAAACCCCTCCCCCCTGCCCGCAGTGCGGGTTATACCAGACATGGGCAAATTACTGCTCGTGGGCCAAATCCGGTGCATTGAATTTTCGCAAACTCATTGCGGGCCGCAATGTCAAATATATATATATATATATACCAGTTCTGATTTACGTTAGAATTTGCGCGACGCTGAATCAAGCTTGAATTGCACAAAGCTGTTGCGAATATCTGAACACAATATGCACGCATTTTTACGCAGTCAAATTTGTGAGAGACATCGGGTGTTAAGTTTAGTTTATATAATTTTGAAAAATCCTGCGAGGGTCACTCATGTGGCCCGCGGGCCACGGATTGGACGACCCTGATGTGGAGTGTAGACCACGGGTGTGCAACCTGCGGCCCACAAGGAACACTTGTGCGGCCCGCGGAGAAGCGCCACTTTTGAATGGCGTGCAGCCCACGAAACCCTGGCAACGCGAACAACGCATATCAAAAACCAATTGTTTTGTGTCTGCTACTGCTAAAAAGCCAGTGTTAGGAAAAGGTGCGGGCGCGGCTCGCGGTTTAATCCAGCTATTCGTATCTGGCCCTGTATTGAAGGTTGCACACCCTTGGAGTAGACCATAAATTATGCCAAGTGTTTTTCCAAGTTCTGTATATATATGTTGTGTATTACCTTCCGATCGTATGGGCATCCCCATATTTCTGTATGGTTTCAATAGTTTCTGGCATTTCATTGGTTGTATGTAACTCTGCTCAGAGATATGGGACGCGTCAATTTTGCTTTTATTTGAGCTGCGTGGAACTTTGCTTTGATTAAGTTCTTGTAAAACGCATTATTGTTTATGTAGTAGATTGTAATAATAAACTCATCCGTATAGTTTATTTCAGTAACTAATTGACAATGACACTAGCTACTGGCCATGGTGTGGACCTCATTTCGTCATTTTGCTACATTGTTGTTGTATGTATTGTTGGCGTCTTTGTTTTTGTTGTGAATAAGTCACATATCTACTCCACTAATAGACCAGCGAAAGTTGCATTTATGTGTATAAATTTGCTAAAATCTTGTTTTTGTTGCTTCTGTTATTGTTGTTAGTGTGATTGTTCCTGTTGGAAATAGAATAACGCTCAGCAAAGTAGGTTCTATGAAACCTCACCGTACCGACCCGATGCGCGACAGTTTTCATAATACTTTTAATTAGATATTAAAATAATTTTCCAAGATATTATAGATAAGCCACACCCAATTTTTTCAAATTATATTTAAATTTTAGCTGAACAAACAGTCCAGCTAATATCTCCAGGATAGATTAGGCCTGTATTCCCCTTTCAAACGAATACCCGGCTTGAAATTCTCTGAAGATAATCAGTCTATTCTTGAAAATCATACAGTATCATAAATGTTCATTGTCATATTGAACAACAACGCAATCCTACCCCTAAATGAGCTTATAATTACCGTTAATGAATACTTTTCCAAATTGATTTATAATAATTCATGTGACAATGAAAATGAATTATTTCACTAAAATTTCCTTTTACTCATTTGATTATATAGGAAAATAACCTAAATAAACATCTTAAAAAATATCACGATAACTCAGTCTAGTTCAGTGATTCCCAAAGTGGGCGATATCCCCCCCGGTGGGCGAAAATGATACAGAGGGGGCGAAAATGTCGAAGGGGGCGATTTCACAAAACCTGTTTTTGTTCGGCGCATCGTGTACTTAATTCTGTACTCTGTGTGCATTCGCAGGCTTGAATCACGTGGGCGATTATCACACGCAAAAAGATTGCTGGACTTGTCTTCGCAGTAAGGTACGGTAGTTTGCGAATCCCAGTGGTCGGCAAAATACGGTCGGAGTAAAATAATCTGGCCCGGGACACTTCACTGAGTGAACCTTTCCCCGACCTTTGACCCCGGAAAATTCTCCCTATATAATTTACCATTTCAAAATTTTCGGTGCTTATTTTTGGAGTAGTTTCGCGAGTTGTCGCCTGTAAAATAGGGTATTTGTTTCAAACAATCATTCTAATTCATACCATTCAACAATCTGTTTTTTAGAAGTACCGATAAATTTTTTAGCCCTAGTCTATCACAGCTATTTCTACACTAATTTTTGATTGCTGTATTTAAACTGAAACTTATAGGAAGACAAAGTAATCATTGACTTATTTGATTGATATTTAAATTCCGAAAAAACAACTAAAAACTAACGAATATAAATCAAAAACGCGAAAATGAGGTAATGTTCACGACCACGCCTGAAAATCTGTCTCAGTGAGTGTGTCTGAGCGGATGCGATAGGGGGCATTGTCACGTTTATTTTTGCATCTTGCTGATTGGCCAATGTCACAAAGTAAACAAGGAAGTCTATGCCCGGGGAAACGGCGGTTATGATGATGAAATAATTTTATTTATAATCTACGCTCGAGGAGTAAATTACATTTTTTTACGTAACAGAATTTATCGTGAGACACGTTTAGACTAAATTTCATTATATCCTAAAAATTCTATTAAACAGCTACTCGTTTAACAAGCTTACAATTTAATTATAATTAGACAAATGGAAACACGAAGAAAAGAGGGCAGGGTTCAATAGCGCAGTAAATAATCTTGCATATTTTTTTCTATATTGATTTATAATATTTCATGTGACGATGAAATTGATTTATTTCACTAAAATGTTCATTACTCATTTCATTATCAAGAAAAATAACCTAAATAAACATCTTAAAAATATCACGATAACTTTAGTGCATCGCAACTAACCTCTTAATTATGCAGTCAATGTGATGTGGCGAACATTGCATGACTATTTCTCAGCGAAGCTTCCTTCAGTGAAATACCTTACCGAAGTTGTGTGGAACGTTTTTTTTTAAATCCCCCCGCTTTCGTAGTCGTTTTCCGAGTCTATGGTATGAGCAGCTGGTTTTAGAAGAAAAGTGCATTTGCTAGTTCAATAAATTGTTTCAATATTGTATTCCAATACAATAATATGATGAGTGTGGCTCTGATATTCCAGCATAGTGTGACTACCAGACCTCACCCAATAAATACAGTAGCACACCCACAGAAAAACGACAACAGTATTGCAGCGAAACTTTGAAGTAAAATATAAAAAAATTAGTGGGCGAGCTATTGTTACTCGAGTTGCATCAGGCTTAATCATACAGTACAATGTTTCATGCGACAATTAGATAGAAATTCACACGCATATGCACACACATATACCATAGAGATGAAATAAAAAGGCGTTTTATTTTCAGGCTAATTCGTCTTTAAGTACAAAAGCCCTAGACAGGCTAACACTCGGAAAGTCCCTATAGGGGGAATACGAATTTGGAATGCCAATTTCTGAATCTCTTTAATGTGATTTTTATTCAACCGAAAGATTTCATCATACTTTCTGACTGCCGAATATGAGTGCTAATTAACAGATAAGCTGCCATTGTTGCCACAGCAAACACTCAATAAACGTATTAAAAACGCTTCCTCAACTTTATAATACAAATGGTTCCTGTTTCGAATATATTTCACTGTTAGCAAAATATTTACTGTGATCAGATATTTTCGTTGAGTCTAAAATTTCGTACTATAACAAATAGTGCGTCCACACATTTGCAATCGTTTGAGAAGGCATTTTGTTGGCAGTTGTACAGCAGGTTGCCAAAGCTCAGCGCGGTGATAAAAAAATTAACGAAAAATATATTTTGGATATTTTTAACAGCCTTATCGCTGCCATCACTCCAATGAATTGTTGAGCGAGCGTCATTCTTTTCTCGTAGACAGTCGAACAATATGCTGTTCAACAACGATGTCTGCGATTTGGATGAAGTTAAAGACAAACTTTACAAGAGTTCAATGTTCGGATGGTCCTGGTCGAGGGAAAGACGGGAACCTTACCGACACACAGCTATCGTTCTACGTTTCAATAAAATTCCATGTTTCACAATAAATTTCCGTCCGAGAAAAGGATCTGGAAAATTTGAAGCGGCTTTCAGCGAATGTGGGTCAGCGATAACAATTGAACGCATCAACAACCCACTGAACAACAACGTCGAATATTTTGCACCTTTTAAAGAGTTTGAAATTCAGTCAGAACATTTAAAGACACAAGCATTTGGAATTATAAAGCTGATACTTTCGTATGATCCCGGAAAATATAATTTAGTAACAAATAACTGCCGACACCATGTCGATGGCGTTAAGAAATACGTTGCAAGCCATGTGGAAGAGCTGAAGGACAACGACTATAACAATGCTATGGTCAGCACCAAAAACGGCGATGTAAATCGTTTTATGGGTGCTGCTTTTACTGCGTTTGCCGCTGTTGGAGGTGTGGTAGTGGCAGCAGCTGCAATAACTTCAGCTATTTTTGGTAGTAAAGAAGAAGAAGATGAAGAAAATCAAAAAGTAAAAGCATAGCAGTTTCCCACGTTTCTATTTTGTTTATTTATTTATTTCAAATGTACGTAAATATATGTATATATTGAAATTTACATCCATATCATGCTTATTTTAAAATCTGGTATCATATTTGTACATATTTTCATAACATCATCGAGAATATAGGATATAAATAGTGTTTTTGAATATCTATGCAGCTTAATTTGATGAAATTGGCTGACTCATGCGAAAAATTGGTGTCATCACCAACATTGACCATTATATATATAAAGAACTTATTTAAACAAACGCAACTACACACTACACTAGAGTCTAGACTACACTCTACATAGTCGAACTAACCAACTATTCGAGTAACCACCTTATTAAGCCAACAAAATCAGTAGATGAAATTTGTCCGTGATTGAATTGAATATACTGTAATCAGTGAAGGAATTTAGAAATACTTGTGTTTTGAGGGTGGAGTATCGTGTAGGTTTATACAGAAAGAGTATGCGACGGTTCGATAACAAATGGTCAACACTTCGTGAACCAACAACAATGGTTTATACTGAGACGAACCAGTGGTGATTTCTGTAGAACTATAAGCACGCTGTAGTAGTATTTAAACATCTTAGCTATGGATATATAATAGTATGCACATATAAACACAGTGTACGTGTACAAATTGAATCATGTGTAGGCACTGAGGGTATGCACTGCTTGCTAAACCGCGAAGTATGCTTGAAACCTTCGGGAGACATGCGAAACCGTTTATGAATATTTGTTGTACACACAATGTATTCATATATGCGAATAGTGCCGTGTAATTTATTAACCAGACCATGTATGTATGAGACTTACATTTGGAGCGATAGTTTATTTTAAACCCTGCACTTCTACAACGTCGAGACCAACGATACAAACCACAGGTTTCTTCGTTATAGATAGAGGCCTGATATAATTTATCTAAAAGAAATTATTGAATTGAACTCATTACATGCATGTATTTTACTTATGTATGTGTATATATTTTACATATATCTACAGATATTTTGGAGATTTATATATGACGTACCGTATTTTCATTTTTCAGAGACGTTTGTCTCAGCATCGGTACTTTCCCATTCGATGTTGTTCCAGCCGTCTGTATTCCGTGTGAACAAAGCTCGCCTTCACATTGACATAGAGAAAACTTGTATGAGCGAATCGTTCTCGATAGTTGTTAGTTAGTTAGTTCAATGGGCCCTTTATTAATTAGACTACGAGGGAGGAAGTTAAATTGCGCATTACTCAAACATTACGTGTTAGATATCCTCTCAAGAACAAACGTTTGAGATAACTTTTGCTCAGTTTATTCGTAATAGTGTATGGCGCTGAAAACAAACTAAAATAAAGAGAACCATCCGACTTAAAAATTATTCGTGACTATTTTTTCGTTCTTAGTGTGTATATTGAAATCAAATCATTTGCAACCTCACATGCTCTGACGTTGTATGTGTGGCATAGAGAATTTATCAAGTGACCTCATACAATTTACAGTATGACAATAAATAGCCTAAAGTAGTGTATCAGAACAATATTGAATTCGTATGACAATGGATCTGTTCAAGTATTACACCGATCATAAATGTACGAGAGACGAAATTTGGCAGCGACTCAATACAAGCGGAAAATTCGGCTGGTCTTGGTGTAAGGAAAAAACGGAACCATTTCGCCACACCGCCATTGTTCTTTATTTTGACAAAGTTCCTCGTTTCACTATAAATGTGCGAGCAGTTGACGGGACAAGCAAGCCTGCTGCAGCGTTTAGCGAGTGTGAATCGGAGATTACCATAGAAAAAATTACCCCCGGAGATAAAAATATGACATATTTTGACCCCTTCGATGAATTTTCCGTGTTGAGTGTGAATGGAAAGCAACGAGCGATCAACACTATTAATTCTATCTTGTCGTGTCACACTGGAAGATACAACCTTTTTTTCAACAACTGTCGAGATCATGTGAAGTATGTTGTTGAACAAATTGCGGGTAAAAAGCTTCATGATAGCGATTTTGAAAGTCAGATGTCTGATGTGCGCAACGAAGACACCGCACGATCTTTACTTGCTGGTGTTATCGGAGTAGTTGCTGTTGGTGTAGGTGCTGCTTTTATTGGTGGTATTGTTAAACTAATGGAAACTGAAGAGAACGAAGAAGAAGAGAAAGTCAGCGCATAAACAATCTATGGAATCTTTACATTATTAGTCCTGGAAAATTAATGAGATCAGAAATATGTGCAAAGTTTATTTATTATACAGTTGAATGCTTTTAGTCGTGTAAAATATATATATTTTTGAAACGCAGTTAATTTGTGAAGTAGTTGAATTAAAAAAGTATAGGTAGTTATATATATACATCTGAATCAAGGCTGCCCAACCCGCGGGGCGCAAGCGGCCCGTCGAAGTTTTTTTTTTGCGGCCGCCCTATAAAGTTTGTAAGCAGACTTTTTAAATTTTACTATACATAGGTATTTTTCGTGATTTTGGTGTAAATATTAGTGTTTGTTTGCAAATTAATTTCATTCTGATTGCTTTTTTTCGTGTCGGCTTTGATCGTCTTTATCACCGACGTAAAATAAAAAGTCAACAATATCTTGGGTACTGGTCCCCGGACTCGTCGTTTTATGTTTGTACTTTTGTTCATGTTATGTTCGCGTTAAATAAGATGTTGGAAATGTCGTCACTGCGTATTCGTCAATAATTCTGATGAAATTGACGTACTGGCATTGCTACTAATTATTCACAAATCAGTATATATCGACTATTCGTTCAGAAATCTTCGTTATGCTACTTCATTAAATACTTGTATTGGTGTTTCAAATTTTACGAAACGGCCACTAAAACTTGATATTGCCGCGGCATTGACGCACATTATGCTCATTTAAACATTAAAGCAGTATCGTAGCTACCTAAAATAAATGAATAAAAACACTATAACGCAAATATAACACTCAACTCTGACGTGATGTGTGTGCTTCCTGCGTGATCGCCAAAAAACCGCAAGTGTGTTGTGTAATGATTGATTCATTGATTCGTTCGCCCGACAGTGTTATGTCCACGCCCCGTTTACCAGATATTCAAATAGTAAACCGCTATTTTAAATTCGGATAATTTGCCAATCCTACCCAGTAACCAGAAAGTAATTATTAACTTGATTGATTTCATGTTAATAAACTCGCCTTTTATGTATTATGTAATTACTTACACCAAAATCAGGACTTATATGGTATTAATGTTTGGTACAAACGTTTGCGGCCCGCGACCGGTTTCGTCACGTGAAAGTGGCCCGCGAGACGAAAAAGGTTGGACAGGCCTGCCCTACATGATCTGATCCCAATATCAGATACCTAGTGAAGTACTCTGCTACGTTTTTCAGCGTACCATGTGTGTATATAGAGAGGCACGGCTAAAAATGTTGATGGGATCAATTCAGATGATTAGCAAGGCCAACCAAAATTTTTTAGCTTCACTGAACATTTCAATTTCCCCTAGTAGATTCTTAAGGAATTTTCAGGTGTGCGTCAAACAATTAACTGCTTAATTCATTTATCGCATGGAATAAAACATTAGTTTTGAGAAAAATAACGATACAAATCAAGCTAAGTTAATTGTTATCTGGTGGATTGTCAACTATAGGGCCTATGTCAAAACAGGGCTATTGTTGAGAGTCAGCACTTCAACGATAGTGTACGGCTGGTACAGTGACTTGTTCTAACTTTGCCAAAAAAAACTCAAACTTTCCGAGTGTTTTTGGTGGCTTAACATTATGTATATACATGGAACTCCAGTCAGTCATTCAAGAAATGCACATACACACCTAATCGATTTATTATATATTCTGACCTTGTATGCAGTATTACAGGGTTTCATTTTGTTCAATTGGTGATCATCGAGGGAGGGTTGATATATTTGCACATTGTACTTGCAATTCAAGGGACATCAAAAGGTTATTTTGTGCAGTTTAGCACAGAGCTCGTCAGTCATTCTGAAATTGATACACTTTTTTACCCTTCACTCATAGTCTGGTTTTATTTTCGGAAGGGGAGAGGGGGAAGGTTCAATTTTAGGAGGTGGTAGATATTTTGCTATTAGTGATGAAACTATTATTTGTAACTTATGGAAATGTATCCGACTGATCATTTTCACCTGCATATGAGAATATTTAAATCCATCTTCATTTACGTTAAGAATCGAAGTATGGTGTCACAACGGAAAATTAGGGGGGGGGGGGTCACGGCCTACTGCACATACCCGACATGGTTTCACATATTATTTAGTCGAGTCAGTTTTGGATAACCTAAAGCTGTTATTTAGTTATACATGCAGCCGTTCAGTGGTGCATTAATATTTAATCAATATTACAGCCATTCTATGATGTCATAATGTCTCATACCAGATGACAGCTCAACTCATGAGGATGTTCCCCGCGAACGAACGCATTCCAACATTTTGGTATTGTTACAGTGCATATATAACTAACATCATAATCCCTAGATATCTCTCTGAAAAGCACATATTCTAAAAAATCAAACATCCCAGTTTGACGAAATAGCCTTGATAAATAGCCTTTCATCTAAATGTCATTTTAGGATTTTAAAATATGCCGATTAATCTATTATTCTTTTTATCAATTGACATGAAGTCAGAAGCACAAAAATTAATCGTTCATATTCATTATAAAAGTATTAGTATTGTACCGCATGGCAAATATTTACCAGCTCAAGCTTTTAAGACACCTAGTCGAGTCAGCAACGTTTGAGTGACCTCTGACCCGGAAATGAACATTTTATGCGATAAAAACGGGACTACGGCACTTCAGTTCAGGTTATAAATTTGTCACTGGGGTATATATAAACCTACCTATGGATATATAATGGACGTGTCGTTGTTGTCCAAATCCGAAGTGAGCGTGTTTCTTGATTCTTTATTTGCGTCTAGCTCAGACTATAAGAAATGTGCTCACTAAATCTTTGAAAACGGAAAAAAAGTATTTTCCCAACTTCCGTTTCGTAAATAACATTCAATTATTTGAATTTTCTTCAAATGTTGCAATCTACAGCGATCACTATACAGCATGGGTCAGCAAACTGCGGCCCGAGAACTAATTTTTGCGGCCCTCGAACGCCCCGACTTTAAATGCATGAGCATAATACATAAATTGATTATAAATTTATCGTTGTCTCCACATAGATTTGTGCGGTAACGAATGCAGCAGTACGGCTCTTTTTTTGCGGCGTCAGTTCTGAGTTGTATATCGTTCACTTGATGTTGGTTGTAATTTAAAAAAAAGTTTATTTTGATTTTCAAAATATAAAAATGGGAATTTTCCCGGAGGGAATTTCGCGTTGAGGGTCGAACACTCCGAAGTGCTTGGACGGAAAATATTTTGCTTTCTTGCGCATTTCAAAACCGGTTTGCGTGCCAAGTCAGCATCGCAGTTTTGAAAGGATCCAATGTTAAACGTCACTCATTACAGAACATGTCACTGCAAATACGAAATTCGACCCCGAAACCCCAGTTTGCGCCACGGCTCTCTGCAACAGTGCAAAATGTGTAATGTGCACGTCACATATTGCTGTGAGCAGCTTTATATGAAATGTATTACACTTACAGTAAATTTCGAACTCGCTTGTCAAATTGTCATTTGGACTACGTACTGCGGGGCAACAAGTTGTATTGTTTGATAATATATATATATATATATATTAAAAAAGACAACATAGACGTTGCATTGTAACACAGCAATAGAAGGTGCGGGCGAGCCATAATTTTAAGTTTAATGTGGCGATTATTAGCAGGCAGAAATTAATGCGGCCCGCACGCTATCGGAAATGTGTATATTCAGCCCGCGAGTACATAAAGTTTGCCGACCACTGCTATACAGTCTTAACCATCAACCCATATTGTTTCCGTCGTAATTGTAAGCCAAACCAACAGGTCGAAGGCGTCTATAAAACTTTTACCTGATAATAGAGAAATATTTCTGGTTGGCTGTGGTGTATTTTTGAAACATGTATGCAGACGGCAATTTTTTGGTACTCCGAGCGTACTTCAAATAATAAATAAAATAAATTCGCTTTGGGTCTTTGACTCGGTTTCATGCCATAAAAGACCCTACCAATTACTCTTTGAAAGAAAAAGGATTGGTTTAGTGTAACAAGGGTCGTAGTGTATAAGTGTCATATTAGGTCAATTTCAACGGTAGCCATTAGCTTATTATTCCATTTTCGTCATTTCCCTGCTCACTTTACAATAAAACCAACGCAATAGCAGTATCTTGCACACACCATTAATTAGTATATCACATTGAACAACTCATTCATTTTTCAATAATAAAACATCACCAATCAGGCAATCATAAATATTGACTTTTGTGTTCATTGTTCATACATCGATTTCAGTCATACACGTATGGTCGTGCTGAACAAGAATGTTCTTGGCTTATCAACTGATATAAGCCTTATATATAATTGTGAGTTTTGACAACATTTCGCTTTTTGATTTCTAAAGAGAGGTTCATATTACATCACCTGCCTTTGTCTATTTTATTGTCCCGTATAATCACATACCTGGTCTACTGAGGATCGGCAGCTTCAACTACGACAGCACAAAACAAAGATTAGACAAACGAAAATCTTAATAGTTTGTTTGAAGAGAGGTATATGACTGAACTGAATTTAATACAGTTAATTGAATAAAAATATTGACTACATAAGTTCGATACACGGTTCAACTTTCAGAAAATTGTGAAAGATTTGTGCTATAAGTTGTTTGCAGTCAGTTAAACAAGCTCAACTATTGTTATAAATATATTTGAAATCTTATGATTTGAGGACTCAATTCATGAATTTCCGATTTGATTCTGTGAGATATTGCTATAAAATGTAGTAAAAATCAGTTTTCAATCTGAGTATTAGTTTTGTATACTGTACCATTTAAGCCCATGAAAATATGATCGAGCAATCATGATTTTTATGACAATCTGTTAGAAGTACGTTCACACCTAACCGGGGTTATAGTACGATCGGCGAGTGGAAGGCAGCTAGAATACGGTCCAAAATTAAAAAGCTAGTGACACTGTAGTCTGATGTGTTAAATTCCCTATATTTATTCATTTCTTCAGTCTGCTTTCTTTCTCCCTATATTTATTCATTTCTTCAGTCAGTTACTGCCATGAATCTGAAAACGAGACTTTGGGGTATTTAAACCCCTTTTACATCAATTGAGACATAATCGTAACTATTCAACAGTGCGGTATGTATGCTGCTAAACAACAAACTTTTTCATTAATTATTTAAAAGGGAATTATACAGTTTGTTTTTGTATCCAACAAAAAAAATCAATACATTAAATATTTTCAATGGGCAGCAGTGATGATGATGAGTGGCTTTATCAATAGAATTCAAACAAGTTACGTCATTTCAAGAGCATCAAATTAACATCGGGTTAACAACTTATTCATATTGATATCAGTAATAGTTGTCATGGTGTATTCATTGTCAATTTATGCTTTGTTAGAACATCATAGAAATCAAATAGGCCTATTGAAGTTTATGTTTCAACCGTCGTGTGTTTAGACTTTAGATCGTAATGGACTGAGTTTTTGATCAACGTGGGCAATGCAAATAGCCCAGCTCAAATTATAAAGGTTGCAGATAAATATTAAATATTCTACTGAGCCGTCGCTTAGTTTAAGTCTCGGTTTGACTTCACAGAAACTATGGTTATGATGACCACTGACGAATTCGCAAATTTCATGAAATAATATAAGTTTTTTGTGTAGGTATTTTGTATTGTGAGGTATATAGGTCTTTTCGCAAAGTATGTGAAATTAGCATTGGTTTAGGATTTATTGGTTTTGATATCCATATCAATAGGTTTGTGTTATTATTACTTTTAAACGGGTTTGGCAGTCTGAGATTTGATATTTTGCAAACACAGTGAAGGTAAAATCATAATATTGTTTTGTCACAATAATCCAATCACCGGAACAACATGGTAAATACCAAGTGCGTGAGCATATGCGTGTTTGATCTAACCGGGTCATGTGCTTAAAAAATGCCATTACTTTGAGCTGTAGTTTCTAATACAACTTGCTCCTATCTTATTCGTGCTCTTCGTTTCAAGGTCACATTTCTGAGACAAATGAATAGCGAATTCGTTTATTTTTTGTAGATTTTTTGAATATTAGCTAAATTAGACGCAGTGATGGGACTTCAGACTATTCAGACCTTTTGTCGATTGCGTCCTACTGGTGAAGAAGACGTCAAATACATTATTCATCAACCGATAAAAGAAGATGAAGCAGAAGACGACAAAACATCGATAAGCTCGAAGTCAGCGCCGTGGGAAGCTTTGGACTTTCATTTGCCAGCTCATAAAGTGAATCCATATAGTAGTCCAAAAGAGAAGAAATACAGTTTTTTGTTCAGAAAAGTTTTTGACCAAGACGCTAGCCAAGAGGAAGTTTTTGAAATAACAGCAAAGCCTGTATTAGACAATGTATTATCTGGCTACAACGGAACTATTTTTACTTACGGCCAAACTGCAACGGGAAAGACGTACACAATATTAGGTGAAGAATTTGAAACTTTAGATTCTACAGAACGCGGAATCATGCCACGGTCGATATGTTACTTGTTCGATAAACTAAATGTGACGAAAGAGGAGGAAGGAGGACATTTTGAAGTTCAAATTTCGTACCTGGAAATATACAAGGACGTGGGATACGATCTTCTGAGCGGCACGCGGGAGAAACGAAAGGTGACAAAGTTTGACGACTTGCAACAAGTTATTAGCAGGACTGATGCAAAAAACAAACTCCATCTTGTTCATTTATCTACGCACTCTGCAAAGACAAAAGAGGAGGCGTTAGAACTGTTCATTAGAGGAAGCCAAAATAGAATATTAGCCGAAACTTACGTCAACGACGCATCATCACGTTCACATTGTGTTTTTACAATTTTACTTCGAATCAAGGAAGAAAAGGAATCAACAAAAATACAGATTTCTAAAATGAATTTTGTTGACTTGGCTGGATCTGAAAGAGTTGGTAAAACACACAATGCAGACAGGTCGCTTCTAGCCGAAGCGCGAAATATAAATCTATCGCTGCATCATTTGCAGCAAGTCATTGTAGCCCTCGGAAAAACGGAATCAAAAGTGAGAAGACCAAAAAACAAAAAATTTAGGCACCGGGATAACGATAAACATGTACATGTGCCTTATCGAAACACCATGATCACATCTGTTTTGAGGGGTAGCCTTGGAGGAAACTGCTTAACAAGTATGGTAGCAACGGTGAGTGTTCAAAACGAAAACATTCAGGAAACTTTATCAACTTGTCAATTCGGACAGCGTGTTGCAAGAATACAGAACAGAGCCGTTATCAATCAATCAGCTGATCTCGAAGCTGTGGTTTCCAGACTCGAAGAAGAAAATAGAAGGTTGAGAGATAAACTTCGTGAAGCTACTTCTTCGAAAATTGAAGAACCTTTGACCGAAGAAGAAATGCAAACAATGTTTGAATTGGTTACAGAATATTTGGCATCCGAGGATGGCGAAAAAGAACTAGAAGTTGTTGAAGGAGCCAAAAGAATACAATTTTGTTATCAAAGGTTGAAAGAGTACGCCGTTAGTGGCACAAAGAAAAAGAAACGTAAAGGATTTTTTGGGTAATGATATGTAACAATGTCAATAAACATAATTATGACGGAGGTTATAGGTATCACGGAACTTTTTGAGCACGCAGTGTTATATGTATGCTTACGATATTTTGTGATGTGAAAATGGAACACTGGTATTTGTGCAAGCTACATTCTCGCCATGTCATGGTGTGTTTAATAGCCACTCTCATTTGCAATATATTTCAAATGAAATTATATATATTACTTGTTTCATGCTATACGTTATTGATCTGTAAATAAGATTTTAAACGGAAATAACCTATTTCTGTAAGATATTTTCCATCACTTCTATGTTTAAGCACGCACTATTCAGAGCACGATAGACTAGTTCTGAATGATCACATATTCAAGTATTTGCTCGAATCATATTATTTATCGTTTACTACGGAATATCTTTATAAGATATATTTAGTTATTATTACTTAGTTGTGTTTAGAATTAAAAAAACAAACAAAATTAGTAAAAACAACTATCATAAGATGGTAACTGAAAGTCACAGCTTTATGGATACTTTTAAATTAATATTTTCCGTTCCCATAAATAAGTGTTTCAAATTCAGATGTCACTACGGAACTATGTTGTTCAAATGCCCTAATTTATTTTGCTCAGAGGCAATGTTCAATGTAAAATATTTACTTGATATCTCAAAGAAATTTTTTTTTTTGAACATAAATATGATTGAACATTTTTATTCGCTCAAAATCACTGTTAAGCCCCAATTATCAACTTAGATCACTGTGCCCGATAACAAATGCCCACATGTCATCTTCATCGAAAGGGCAGTAATTTGCCTGTGAGGTTATGGTAAAGCAAATGCAAGGATAAATATATATGTATTGAGTGAATTCTCAAGTTGCTCAGTGGCAAATATAAATATATGTTGTCCGTAATTAAAAAAATACGCTCTCTCAAAAATGGCAAACGTGTGTTTTTGCAATGACATCATTTTACTCGAAAATTATATGGAGATGTGTAAGCTTAATTTAGTCGTTGTATTCTAGTAAGATTTGAGACATTTTTTATTAATCTACCATTTAAATTTTATGTATATGGTATAATTTTAAAATTTCCTCTCAGAGAATGTTCTGATGCCTTTCCTAGCTCGCGTATAACTCACTTTATTGCGGAATTTGTGCCATCAATTCCAACGGTTTGTGAAAAAAGTCGATCGACGATTTTGACGCTAAGTTTGCATAACGACGTAAAGCATTCGGTACATTCTTAATACTGCTATAGGGAATGTTCTGCCCTATAGGTAAATAGTCGATTCCCGTGTTGTTGAACCCACGTTATGGAATGTAACCCCAATCTGGACTCCTTCAGGGGTCAATAAAACACACAATGTATCGAATGCCAAATGTTGTTATATTGAAAGTTTCACAATCCATTCCAAATACAGATATATTGAAAATACACTTAACTCTTAATGCAGTCAAAAACAGAATGAATCATAAGCACAATATATTTTTTAGCAATCTCGACGTAACCGGAAATTTACGTCATCAAATCGCTTACAAAGAAGACTACATACATAGAATCAAGGCTTATCGCGGTCGCGAATCATAAAGTGACCTATTTCGAGGAATGCAACATATTAATATGATGAAGGGGTTAAATAGCATTATAATCCATAGTTACAATCTACATTCGCTACACTGCTATATTTACAATTTTAAGCAAAAGCTTTTCCCGAAGAATTATTGCATAATATTATAGGGGGGCTATGACCCTATTTGAATGTCCACACTTCCGTGTTATTGAACACACGTTAACAGAGTGTAACTCCGATCCGAACTCCTCAAAAGTCAATGAGCACACAATAGATTGAATGCCAAATGTTGTTATATTGTAAAGTTGCACAATCGAATTGATTCAAGTAACAAATTACACTTAAAATCTTAACACGGTGTATGTGATGAAACCAAATTTATAAATAACAAAGAACGTTAAAGACAAGCAACACTGAGCGAGGGATATAAATCATTAGATAAAATAAATTAGAACAACGACCTTTTTTCAGGAAAATAACATGCACTATTAACAATACGTTGTGGAAATATTAAAATACACAGTAACTACCCTAATGTACTCGTTACTACAGTATTCATCTATATAAATATATTTTGAATCCATAATCATCATAAAAGACGATAAAATATTGATGGAAACAAAATCAATAAAACTAATTGCAGACTCAGGAAGGCGAACAACACCTTAAGTAAGGTTCAAAACGTACAGATTTTAGATTATAAGGTGTTGTTAAAAGAAGTGGTACGTGTTTGCTCACCCAAAAGTATTAAGTTGATTAAAACCCGCACGCACACACAATCACGCAGACAAAATAAAACTACAAGAGGGAAAAAGTAAAATATGTAGTATTATTACTTCGTAAAAATAAAAATATACAAACGAAATAAAAAACAGAAAATAAAATTTTGTCATACTAAGAATAATAATTTTGTAAGGATTGCCAAATTGGAAACCGAATTAGTTAACAGAGGTGGAATGTATGAAAATTCTTAAAAACCTATCGCCAAGCTGACTACAGTTGGAGTCTCCTAATGCTGAACTGCCTAATTGGAATTGCGAAGTTGGAGCACTTCACCCACCAAAGCCAAAATATGACCAAATTAGAGTCCTGATTATATTAAATATCGTTAAACAGTACAAGTAATTATAATTGAAATTAAACAAGATTAATTAAGGCAGTATAGTACTGAGGTAGGAGAATAACTATGAGAATTTAAATAAATAGATTTTTAAAGATATAAGCAAGGTTTTATTATATATATTTATGGATTGTAGACAAGGAAATATATTTGAGGTTGTCGATTACTAGGGTCAGTTCAAATTTAATCTTTAGTCAGTCTTTCCAAATTTTATCGATGTTGACCACCATCATTGTTGGAAAACTAGATTTTGCATTGATTTAATGATGAGGTCAATCATTCAAGACAAGTGACATTTCTAAAATTTCTGCCAAATCGAACCATGAACAATTTCATGAACCAAGTAAAACTTTGACAGCGCTGAATGCAAAGATGAATTCTATGGCTAAAGAACATAATGCTGAAAGACAAGAAAGCGATGCCTGCTTTGAACGAGAACGCCTAGCATCACAGAAGAAAATAGCAGAAAACGAAGCTTCTTTAAAAGCTTGCTTCAAAACTGAAAAGGTACAGAATCCGTTCAAATCAAGGTTCAGACAGGGTGAGAAAAATTCTTAGATATGCACGTGTTTGACGTAATGAATGGCGGAAACCTGATAAGTTTGCTTCTTTCAATACCAATGTCCAAGTTCTTAATTGTTTTTTTTGTAAAGAGAATCATGATATAACTGATTGTGATAAGTTTCTCAAACAGCCACATGTTGAGCAAAAAAGCAGTTTTTGGCAAACACCGACTTTGTTATAGTTGTGGTAAGAAAACCTCTAGAGAGCTAAATGTGAAACTTGTGGTAAATTGCAGTTATCGTGTCCTCACATTGGTGAAGAACATCAGGGCCAAACAGTTTCAATGTATGTCGATGTTTGCACTGTGTCTGATCAGTATGGTGGCACGGACAATTCAATGATTGTACCTGTGTGGATTAGACTGTGTTCCCAAACTTTTTGTACCATCGCCCCCCTATAGTAGTTTATACAACTTCATCGCCCCCCGGCACTACAAAAAATGTGAAAATAGAAACGAATATATTACAGACCAAATAAGAAGACAAATCATAGTTTATAGTGTGTTTTAATGAGATGGATGAGCTTGGTGCTTTTTAGCGAGTTTTTCATTATTTGGTGACATTTTCGTCAGACACAATCTATAATCACCACGTCTACTGATGGAATAGCGATTTCGTTGTTTTGACAGCAATAGTAGCACGGCTGAAAACCCCTTTTTTACCATAAAAGAGGTCGGAAATGAAATAATCCGGGGTTCTACCTTCTTAAAAACCACCTTGTACTTGCCTTATACCATTTGACTCCCTAAATATTCACCCCATTTCACATTAAAATAATGAAAACAAAATTAATTTCCCCAAACTTAAAATCATGATTTTTGTACATCTCATTCCTCCCTACAGACTGATGGCCTGCACTAAAATACATGATATATCTTCGGTATATGTCTTCCTCGATTCCTCATCAGAGGCCACCAGTCCATAAAATTAATCAGCCATTTGTTTTAGATTGGTGGACTCGGATGTCGTGACCGACTATCGGCTACGGCCCAGAGGTCGGCGAATTTTATGTCGCTCACGGGACAAAATTAAGGGTCTTTTGCAGGTCGCATATATTTTTTGAAAGGTAAAAACAGAACAGCGCGCGAAAACTGCGACAATTCATGAACTGAACTCAGTCGTCCTATTAAAAAAAAATTTGAATTATATTTGTTAGTTTTTAGTTTTGTTTCGGAAATTTAAAAATAAATCCAATAATTCAATGATCACTTTGTCTTCCTAGGAGTTTCAGTTTAATTCCAGTAATCCAAAATTAGTGTTGAAATAGCTGTGATAGAATAGGCTGAAAAAAAAATTTACCAGTACTTTTACAGAACAGATGTTTGAATGGTATGAATTAGAATGATAGTTTGAAACAAATACCTCATTTTACAGGCTACAACTCGCGAAACCACTCTTAAAATAAGCACCGAAAATTTTAAAATGGTAAAGTATAGGAAGAATTTCCTGGGGTCAAAGGTCGGGGAAAGGTCCATTCAGTGAAGCGTCCCAGACCAGATTATTTACTCCGGCCGTATTTTGCCGACCATTGGGATACGCAAACTACCGTACTTTACTTTCCTTTATTTTAGTTCTATTACGAGTTAAGGTCTGTCTGTGTTAGCCAAGTGAACCCGTGGGTTTCAGTCCCTTTACACAACTTGGTGTAAAGTAGGGAAACAAAATTAGTTACTTCCATATTGGTAGACACACTTCTGGATCGACAAAATTTTGGCATATTGTGTGCTGGATGGTCGATCGAATTCAAGTTTTATAACTAGTAATACTACTAAACGTTTGTGTTTGAGTTTGTCCACCATGAGTGGACGACATATTATTCCTCGCAAGAAATTTCAGAATATTGAAATTTGAGTTATAATCGTTTTGAAAACTGTTTGAGCACCCACGGTATTTTCACGAGGTGAGATATCATTTTTCTGTTCCCAGATCCCTAAATTTTGTAATAATGTTCCCAAAGCTACCAGGCCCAGGAATATTAGATGAAAAGTGATAAAGATCCTTATGTTCAGCAGTCCTTACTTGGCTGGGGTGTGATCGGAAATGTGTGTTAAGATGAGCTTGAGAGGTCGAATGGTTTTATGTCCATTGTTTCTAATAAACCATTGACAATAGCAAACAAATGTTCAACTTTTATTTTAGCTTCTATATCGGAGGACGTATTAAATCTTCAACAGGTACGATCGATGTTTGAGAACCTAGCGGTGAAGATGTAACACTTTCTGTTGATGATCACA